AACAACCTCCACAGCGGGGTTCTGACGGACCCGGCCAGTACACACACCGGTACGTGGGAGCTGCAACTGCTATTGAGCCTTGTGTTTCTAGTCTTGGTGCGTGTGTAGTTTTCGGTCCAGGCGCCTCAGAGGTTTTTAGTGTGGGAGCAGCAGCCAACACTAGACTAGTACCACCCTTTATCGCTGGCTCGGGTGCGACCTCACCGACTGCACGGCTTTCTTTCACCCTAGACTCTAGAGCGTCCAACTGTTTCTTTCGCGACTGCACTGACCTCACGCCACTGCACACTCCAGTCATTGTCGCCTTGGCTGACCCGTCCGTAGGATCTGTAGTTGCCGAGAGCACCACCACTCTCCCGTGTCCAACGGCTCCCTCTGGGCTTCTCACAGGTTACTACACCCCCTCGTTCTCTAGGAACCTGGTGGGTGTCAGTCACCCCCCCGACCTCGGAGTTGTCACCACTTTCCCACTGCACGAGCATGTTGCTTCCTGCACAGTCGGTACCACTGGGGCGCCTCTAGCCACTTTCCATAGGGAGCCGGGCTCTAGTCTGTACTCACTACACACTGGGTCAGGTCAGGTCAGGTCAGGTTAGGTAGCTGCTGTCTCGTGCCACTGTCGATCACTCACCCACCCGTCGGTCCTCTGGAACCACCGTCTTGGTCACCCGTCGTTCCCACGTCTTAGTAGGATGGTACGTCACCGTCTGGTCTCAGGTCTTCTAGAGTCGCTTGTCCCGCTTCCTCGCTCGCCTGCGCCGCCATGCACTCCCTGCGTCGAGGGTCGGCAGCGCGCTGCCCCTCACTCCTCCTCGTCCCCCCCCACCACGGCTCCTTTACAGACCCAGCACTCGGACGTCTGGGGCCCCTCCCCGGTCTGTGGCCCACGTCAGGAGCGCTACTTCCTGATTGTGGTGGACGACTACTCCCGCTACACCACGTTTTTCCCCTTGCGACGGAAGGCCGACGTGCCTACCGTCCTTGAGCCGTGGCTACTAGCGAGGGGTGGCGTCCAGGGCCTGTGTGGGCTCCGCCTACACTCGGACCGTGGTGGTGAGTTTTCTTCCACTCGCTTGGAGACGTTCTGTCAGGGTCGGGGGATTTACACGCTACCAGACTCGCGGCAGCAGAACAGGGTAGCCGAGCGACGCATCGGCCTGGTCATGGAGGTTGCCTGGACCTCCATGTGCCATGCCAGTGCCCCCCAGTTCTTGTGGCATCAGGCAGTCCGCTACGGCGCGCACCAGCTGAACCTATGGCCTAGAGGCGCACGGCCACGGGTGACGCCGATCTTCCTTTGGGCAGGTTTTACGGGCGTAGCAACTGACTACCGCGTCTGGGGTTGTTTGGCTCACGTTCGCACCCCTGGCGCGAACAAGTTGTCTGCGCACACCCGTGCGTGCGTCTTTCTTGGCTTCCCACTCGATGCCTCAGGCTGGGTGTTCTACGACCCAGTCACCCACTAGTTCTTTGCCTCTCAGGACGTCACTTTCGACGAGTCGGTCAGTTACTACAGAAGTCGCCCTCACCGAGGTTCTGAGGTCTTTTTCCCCCCGCTGTTGCTCACCCTTGAGCCCCCCCCAGTCGCCCCGGTAGCCCCATCCCTTCGCGTCTTGCCCTGTTAGGTGTGTGGCACGTCACTCCGCAGTCTTCCACCCCGCAGCGTCCAGTCTCTGTCGTGTCTGGGGGTGCTGGAGGTGCAGTTGCGGAGGGTGAGGGTACTGGGGCTGCTGGAGCCCGTCGTGCCAGCTCTGAGGGTGCAGGGAGTGTGAGAGTGGAGACCACTCCTGAGGAGGACACGGCTATCTTGACTCAGTGGCCTCGCCCCGCCTCACCCCGTGGTTTCCCGTCTGTTCCGCGGTTCCCTCCTCGTTCGCCTCCGCGGCCGGTCGCTGCGGAGCGTGGGGGTGTTCCTGCAGGAGGCACTGGAGTCCCTGGGGGTGTTGTCGGTGGAGTTTCTGGTTCTGGGGGTGCTTGAGCCGGAGACACGAGCACTGCGACGCCTACGGCGTGCACTGTACGTTTCCTGACCCGAGTGCAGCGTTTAGACAGGTTGGAGAGGGAGGAGCGGGAGCGGTTTGAGAGGGCACGGCAGCAGCAACAGCACCACTCGCATCGTCAAGAGAGAGTAGAGGTGGAGTCACGGCAGCAGCAGCAGTAGCAGCAGCAGGAGACTCAGTCGGAGCGTCAGGAGAGAGTAGAAGAGGAGTCACGGCAGCAGCAGCAGGAGCAGCAGTAGCAGTCTCAGTCGGAGCGTCAGGAGAGAGTAGGGGAGGAGTCACAGCAGCAGCAGCAGCAGCAGCAGCAGTCTCAGTTAGAGCGTCTGGAGAGAGTAGAGGAGGAGTCACGGCAGCAGCAGCAGCAGCACCAGCAGCAGCAGTCTCAGTCGGAGCGTCAGGAGAGAGTAGAGGAGGAGTCACAGCCACAGCAGGAGAGAGTAGAGGAGGAGTCATGACTGCCGCAGCAGGTGCAGTTGCAGCCACAGCAGGAGATGGTAGAGCAGGAGTCCCGGCCGCAGCAGCAGGTGTTGTTGCAGCCACAGCAGGACAGAGTAGAGGAGGAGCCACGGGAGCAGCAGGGGGGCAGGTGCCGCAGCACCAGTCGCCAGAGGAGGCAGAGCAGCAGCGACATAGAGACCTGCCCGACTCAGCATCTGCACGCTTTGTTCGCGGTCCCCTACCGTCCCCTCATGTTCCCCCTGTCGAGTCCCTTTCCTCGTCCCGGTGGACTCGTCGTTCTCCCCTTAGTCGTCCTGTGTCCCCAGAGCCTTGCCGGTACCGTTACCGTGCCGACGGCCCGTTTCACCTTGTTGTACTTTCCACTTCTAGTCATTCATTCTCAAATTCAAACAACATGCCCTGCACAAGCTGCAGCTGCTGCCAAGCTACTGCTGCCGCCCACGCTGCGCAGCTCTGCACTGCCGACTCGCGACACCCCAGCCGAGCTGCGCCGCCCTGCCGAGCCGCGCCGCCCTACCGAGCCACGCCGCCCAGCCCGAGCCGCGCCGTCCCGCCCGAGCCGCACTGCCCTGCCCCTACCGAGCCGCACTGCCCTGCTGTGCCGCCCATCCTACTGCTGCTGCCACTGCTGCTGCTGCTGCTACTGCTACTGCTGCGGCTACCACTGCTACTATGGCTACCATTTCAGTTCTTAGCTTTGATGCGGAGGGGCGCCCAATTATCTTTGATGTCTGGCTCGATGATCTCCAGCTGTATCTGCAGAGCGAGGCGAGGGATGGAGTTTTGTTGTTTACACATAAGTTTGGATCCATCCTAGCTTCAGCTGATACAGCCCACGAGGATCATTCAAAGTGGCTCATGCGTGATGCTACTGTCCGCCTTGTTGTCTGCAACCACCTTCCGGTAGTTGAGAGGGCACATTTTAGGGCTGAGGGTGCGTGTTACTCGTGTGTGCCTTGCGCTGTTGGTGAAGGTGCTGCTGCTCTAGGTGCCAGTGCGTCGGCTGCCACAGGTGCTAGTGAGTCCGCTGCCGCTCTAGGTGCTAGTGCATCTGCTGCCACATGTGCTAGTGAGTCTACTGCCTCAGTTGAGGCCTTGCACACTTTCACACTTGACTCTGGTGCGTCTCGTTGCTTCTTTCGTGATTGCACCACAGTCACACCACTCGCTGCACCTGTCCCAGTCCCACTGGCTGACCCCTCTGGGGGCCCTGTCGTCGCACAAACCTCCACTATCCTCCCGTGTCCGGCAGTCCCCTCTGGCTGTCTTTCAGGTCTCCACCTCCCCTCGATCTCGACGAACTTGGTGAGCAACACAGTTCTTCGGGATGTATGGGTTGACACCTTTTCTCCCAGACTGGCCGTCACCTTGCTACGTTCACTCGTCAGCCTGGGTCCAGTCTGTACACCCACACCACGCCGTCTGCATAGGTGGCTACGTCGAGTCAGGTGTCTGCGTCTGGTCAGTTCGTTGCGTTGTGCTCGTGTCAGGTACTCTCCCACCAGACTCTCCTCTAGCACTACCGTCTCAGTCACCAATCTCTGCCACGTCTCCGCAGCATGCATTCCTATCTCTTTGTCTCTAGCCTTCCTAGATCCCTGCCCCCCCTCTCGCGCCCGCCTGCTCCGCCGTGCCTTCGTCCGTCGAGGGGCAGCAGCACGCTGCTCCTCACTCCTCCTCGTTTCCTCCGACCACTGCTCCTCTGAAAACTCTCCACATCAAAGAGTGAGGCCCGGCCCCCGTCCGTGGGATGGACTAGAGCGCTACTTCCTGCTGGCCGTTGATGACTACCTGCGCTACACTGCGGTCTTCCCCTTTCGCAGCAAGGCAGACGTCTGCGGTGTTTTGATCCCCTGGATTCGCGCTACTCATCACCAGCTGCGCGAGTGGTTTTGGCAGGACCTTCCGGTCCGGCGTCTCCACTCTGACAGGAACGGTGAGTTCTCTTCTAACCTCTTTGCGGACTTCTATCGAGATGAAGGCATCGTCCAGTCGTTCACGCTTCCGGCCTCTCCGCAGCAGAATGGGATTGCTGAGCGTTGCATTGGCTTGATCATGGAGGTTGCTCGTACCTCCATGATCCATGGGGCTGCTCCCCATTTTCTGTGGCCGTTTGCGGTCCGTAACGCCGCGCATCAGCTCAACCTCTGTGTTAAAGTTATATTTAATATCTATCATGCTTGTTGTAGTTATTGTAGTGTAGTTCTTTCATTCCTTGTTTGGTGGTGCACCTTCTTTGTTTCTTTGCTATATGTTCTTGCAAACCTATAGTGAAGCCAATCATTCTCAATATTCTCCTTGGCACAACTCTCTCGACTCCCGCTTGGCCTAGGCTCCTAAGCCTAGGCCTACTAGTTAAACCCGTTCGCTAGTTAAGACGCTATCGTGACATGGTATTGAGCTTGTAACATCCTGACCTATTAATGGGCCCACTAGTTGACGCACTCGTCATGGCGCCCGTCACGTCCTTAGTTGCGACCTTAGTGACGGGCGCCACGGCGAGTACGTTCGCGGCCGTCCCATCGCGTCGCGGCGCTCATCATGATGGCCGCGGCGGACGCTATGGCGAACGCCAGCGGACCCGTCAGCAACCCGCGGCGAAATCGCCAACGGAATCGCCAGAGCGTTCGCCCACGTACCTGCGACCCTGCCGTCGGACTTGCCGACGAGCACGCCAGCCGGCTCGCCAACCGACGCACCCGCCAGCTCGCCCACCGACGCATCCGCCAGCTCGCCAACCGACGCGCCAGCTGGACACGCCAGCGGCGTCCGACTGCACTGGAGCCTGCGTACCCAGTCCGCGCAACCCATCCGCGCAACCCGCCCCCTCGCCCGCCACCTACCCGTCTCCCCCCCCCCCCCCCCTGTCGCGACTGTTGGCAGGTGCAGCAGCGGTCGCTTAGGGGGAAAGAGGGAGGAGGGGAAGGGAGTGGCGGCGGAGCACTGTGGGGGGGAGGTGAAAAGGGGAAAAGGGGTGACGGCGGGACGTCCGCCAGCATCAGCACCAGCACTGACACCAGTCACCCACACCAGCGCTAGCCGCCAGCAGCTACACCGCCAGCAGAGAGACCCCGCCAGCAGCTTCACCGCCAGCAGAGAGACCCCGCTAGCAGCTACACCGCCAGCAGAGACCCCGCCAGCAGCTACACCGCCAGCAGAGACCCCGCCAGCAGCTACACCGCCAGCCGAGACCCCGCCAGCAGCTACACCGCCAGCCGAGGCCCCGCCAGCAGCTACACCACCAGCAGAGACCCCGCCAGCAGCTACACCGCCAGCAGAGGCTCAGCCAGCAGCTACACCGCCAGCAGAGGCTCAGCCAGCAGCTACACCGCCAGTAGAGGCCCTGCCAGCAGCTACACCACCAGCAGAGACCCTGCCAGCAGCTACACCACCAGCAGAGATCCGGCCAGCAGCTACACCGCCAGCAGAGAGACCCCGCCAGCAGCTACACCGCCAGCAGAGAGACCCCGCCAGCAGCTACACCGCCAGCAGAGAGACCCCACCAGCAGCTACACCGCCAGCAGAGAGACCCCGCCAGCAGCTACACCGCCAGCAGAGAGACCCCGCTAGCAGCTACACCGCCAGCAAAGAGACCCCCGCCAACAGCTACACCGCCGGCAGAGACCCCGCCAGCAGCGCCACCGCCAGCAGAGACCCCCGCTAGTGTCGCCGTGAGATGGAGCAGAACTGCCACCTCTTCTTCCTCTCGCTCCCTCCCACTTTTGCCGTTAGGGGGGAGGGGGGGAGGCTGAGGGGGTGGTGGTAAGGATTCTGCAGGGACTGCCGTGGGTGGGGCAGGGGTGTGGAAGAAGAAAAGGGGGAAGGGGGTGCGCTCGATCGACTTTCTCTACTTGATGAGGTCGCATCGACATAGCAGCGGCGCATGCACAACAATCTTGTCCGGCAAAAACTTGAGGTAGCCATATGCCGGCGCTATCCCGCCAGCCGTCACATGGGTTGTCTGCGTGGGCCTCCCAATGCTTCCCTGGCAAGAGCGGCGCCGGCCGTCACAAACACGCGAGCTGCCGATGGCCGCCATCGACCGCTGCACTTTTCACCCAATTCCCACCGATACCGGTGTCGACGGCCATATCACTCCGCTAACCCTCGTGCCCTTGTTGTTGCTGACCTGGTCGCCGCCGACGGCCTGTTCGTCGTCGCCACCCTCGTTGCGTGCCGGTCGTGGAGAGGCGGACACCCGTCCACCTCAGATCAGGGAGTCTGTTCCGTCGCCAACTGCGTACGGATGCCCAGGAAGAGCACCTTCAAGGGGACCGTTCCGAACTCGCCATCCGGTGGCTCCAACGTATCTGATACCACGCCCGCCTCTGCCGGGATAGGCCTAATGGTCTACACGGGCTGCCGACCTACGAACGACTTGGGTAAGAGATAAGTCGGATCCTATCTGAAGGTGGTTTGCGGGGGCTTCCATGCTCACTGCAGCATGAAGAGATTCCTCTAGACTGCGGGCTATGTACGATTTGTGACTGTGATCGTAGCTTCGTCTGCATTCTCTAGCAGTTGTGCATCACGGTGAAAGTTGAAAAGAGATTCACTAGCAAATGTTGAGAACAATGGGAGCAATGACAAAGGCAACACCGACTACATCAGAAATAAGCAACCTAGCAGACAGCATGTGCCAAGTCGGCCACATGCCAAAGGTTGCACCTGAAGGGCTACGTCGACGGGATACCAGCCTGAAGCCGCCTTCTGCCACAGCAATCTAGACGACGTTCGCGTGTCCCCGCATAACCTCATCGAGGAGGGTTACCTGGGCGACTTCTCCGCGCCCTGGGCTTGAGTGCTTCAGCGTTTTTGTGTGATATTTTCCCTGCCTTTGACAGATCATCTCGAGATGTTCTCAGCCCATTGCTGCTATTAAGCTTCCTAACTTACCCTGCCTATCCGCCTCCCCCATGTGTACCCCCACCCAAGTCAATGCAACCCACTACCAACCCACCCCCCCCTTTCCCACATCATCATGCCTGGGCATCAATTCTTTCCGCTTCCATTTATATGCTCGTAACTGTCCAAGCCCTTTTTCTCGAGTCGACTCAAAATTACGCTTCCACCCATAAACTCTGAACCGTCCAAGCCCTTTTGTGCCCATTGTTTCCTACCCCGGTGTTCCCCTCTCTGTGCTCGCCATGCATGCACAACATGCATCCAACTCATCCACCCCCACCTCCAGTGCATCGTGCCGGAGTTGCTCAATTCGTTCTCAGACTTGGACAACCGAGTCCGCTACCACGCCTGTGAGGCGCTCTACAACACCACCGAGGTGACGCTCCAGCCATAACTTGCATGTGTGGGGTCACTTTTGGGAGCTCATAACAGCGGCTCTCATCTTTGACAGCCCCTTGATAGTCCTGCACGGGTCGACGACCACCTTCATCAACCTCCCTTCGAAATAGGCCGCCGCTCCTGCCTGTTATGTAATGCTATCACTTGCGTTCACGTCTGTCTGCCTCCCATCACATGTTCGTGCGTTGCATGCGTGGTGTGAGCGTGTGCAAGAATTTGTGTTTGATGTGGTTTGTCTTTTCTGAGTGTGTGTGAATGTTAATTGGCTTAAGCAGATATCTGAAGTGCTCAAGAGCTTTCGGACGAACCAAGAATCGTCGCGATCGGAGCAAGAACGAGGAAGTTATGATCGTTCAAAGATTTGATTGTGATGCGACGACTTTGGGAAGTTGTGAAGTGCCTCAATATGGGGTACATACTTTTGGGGGTTGGGAAATTCGTCTTTTCTACTGTAGTTGCTGCCTAGTGGTTGGGAGAAACCAAATTGGGTTGGCAAGTGTGGCCAACTTGGGTGAGGTGGATTGTGGAGGTTGGGAAAGTGACAAAAGTAAACGTGGGGTTGCTACAGGGAGGGGATTTGATGTGCTTATGGGGTTTCCTTGGTTGGGGACTCCTTGGGGACCTTCCCACTCGTCCTCCTCCACCCTCCTAACTGGTTTCTAGCAACTCAATTATCCTTGTGTGGTATTTGTGAGACTCTTGTGATTGAGTTAAGATTCTATGGCAGCATACCCCCCTGTGCGCCGAAATTGATAAGTCGAGAAATTGATACGATTCAAATTGGGAATTGTAGCTACACTCTAGAGCTACAACATAACTAAAATTAGTGAAGTTTTGACGGTGCGTTTCTCGTCGACGAAGTTTCTTGTGAGCGCGACTTTTCTTTCCAGAAACTAGGCCCAACGATTTTGAGATATTTTGGCCTATAATCTTCAAAGACTCCGTCCTTAATTTCTAACAAGTGGAATCGGAGCTGATTAAGGACGTTTTGGAGAGTCTACTGAAGTGTGATGACCCTCCTAGACCCACCATGGCCTGTGGGCGTGCCTAAGTGGAGTTCTGGAGGTAGGATGTGACTTCCGCAAGGGGAAACTCTGCCGAAATTTGGTTGGCGCCGACACTTGTGAAAATATTGTGGGACTTCGCTGTGGACAGCAAAGGGGGGAGCTGAAACCTGTGATTGGGAGAAGAGGAGATGAATCAAGGGAGTGGAGAAGCAGCTGAGAAGAGGAGTGAGCAGCCACCATCCAAGATTGAGGCGTTGGATGGCTCCAACTACGAGTAATGGAGTGGGCGGATGAGAGCGTTTTCAAGCGCTACAAGTTGCTGAAACTTGCGATGGGAGCAGAGAAGATGCTCGAGGAAGGAGATGCTCGGGATCGTTGGATTGAGCGGAGCGCGGTGTTGTTCGACCGCATCCTGCAATCGGTCAACAACGACATGTTCCAGCACATCAGGGAAGTTAGTTGAGTTGGACAACTCCTGTCCAAAGGCGTGGAAGCTACTGCACGACATGATTCAGCCCAAGATGCTGCCCATGGTGATCGTGCTAGAGAAGGAGCTGGCGGCCATCTCCATGCGATCAGGAGATGATGTGAAGCTGTTCCTTGACAAGATCAAGGACACATATGCGAGGATGGCAGCGAGGTGTCGCAGATGCAGCAATGCACCAAGATCATCTCGGTGCTCGACAACTTCTGGGACAACCTCATCCTCACCCTCAACACTCAGCAGGACCAGTGGACACCTGAATGGCTACGGCATTCTGCAGGAGGATTTCCGCAAGTGCCACACAGGAGGCGGTGTTGCCAACAAACCTACAGAGGGGTATGCAGCTGCAGGAGGCAGCAGAGGAAGAGGGGGTGAGAGAGGCCGAGGCCGTGGGAGAGGCATTGGCAGAGGGAGAGGCCGAGGTGACTACAATGAGGGGCATGGGAGCTCTGGAGGCAGGGGAAGCACCCGAATGGAGGGTGCGTGCTGGTACTGCCCAAAGGAATGTGCAAGGGAGTGGGGGTGATGTGGGTTCAGTTGGGAAGGTTGTGATGCACCCCCTCACTCACTGAGTGATCGATTCAGGTTGCACAAGTCACATGACCCCACGGGCAGATTTGCTTGACGAGGTAAAGCCCCCTGTGAAGTTCAAGTTTGTGGCTGCCGCTTTAGGTGCTCTGCTCCCTGTGATTGGTGTACGGAATGCCAAGGTAATGGGAGCCAATGGGGGGCTTGTGGGGCTGGGGAATGTGTTGCTGGTAGAAGTTTTGCCCGCTAACCTCCTCTCTGTGCGCGGCTGCAGAAAAGCAAGGCCAAAATGACCTTCGGCCCAACCAGCTGCCGTGCAAAGCTTGGGATGTTGCTGCTGTGGGATTTGGAGGAGAAGAGAGGCTGCATTAAGGACCTATGGCAGCTGCCCATCATTCCTTGGAATGGGAAACCACCAGCAACGACAGCGGCTGCAGCAATGGCTAAAGCAACTGCGGGAGGAGAGGATACTGCACCAACTGATGGGGCCCTGGATGCAGTCAAGAAAGTGCAGAAGCAACATGGTGAGGTGCTTGTTAACGGGAATGGAGTGTTGGCCCCGCCCTCGCTTGGGCAACGCCGACAACTTGGTCGGATGTACGGGAGTAGCAGCCGACCACTCACAGTAGGATAGCTGCTCGACAGGTTACGACGAGCTGCAGCGGACCGCTGTGGTGTTGCTGTCGACCAGGATGCTCGACAACTGCAACTGACTGGCCTGGGCGATGGGTGAGCCGTCCGGGAGGTCGACGAAGCAGTTCGTCGAACTACAGTTCGACGGGGAGGTCTATGGAGCATCCCGTCGAACTGCAGTTCGACCGGGAGGTCGACGGTGTCGTGAAACTAACACAATAGGTAGTTAGGAGAATAGTTCGGCCTAGGCTTAGTAGCCTAGGCCAAGGAGGATCGAGTTGGTTGTGCCAAGGGTGTCGAGAGAATTTCGGGAAGAATGATGAGTTCACTATAGGTTTGCAATCACATATATGCAAGTGAACAAAGGTGCACCACCTAACACAGTTTGTAATAACTACACTAACTACAGCTACAGGCAGTTACAAATATAAACTCTGACACTCCCCCATAACTGCCTGCAGTAGGAGTTTGTGCAGAACACAACCTGCAGGGGTACACAAATAGCAGCAGCAGCAGATAGGTAGGTAGGTAGTACAGCAGCAAAGGTACAGCAAGAATTCCTGCTATCTCCTCACCCTCCCCCTCCCCCTCCCCCCCACACTGCTGCAGAAGCAGCAGAGGGGGGAAGAGAGGAGAGGTGGAGGGACGGCTGCTGGACGGTCTCACACCCGCCACCCCAGTGCCACTCCCCCAGCTCCCCCACACACT